GGGGGGGGTTGCATTGTCTGTGGGATGCTTGATAATTACACTGACGTAATCTGATCACCGTGGTTGAAGGATCGAAAGAAAAAATGGTATGTGTTTTATGTCTGCATCGGTCAAAACTTCGATAATTCAGAAGTCGTCTGCATCGATCTCACCTGTCAGGGTCAATCTGGCTTGAGTGGGAAACAGCCTCCCAGCAGCAGATAGACGGAAATAGACAAGATATAAGACAATAGGGCCAAGAGTGGACAAACAACAACGTGGACCGTTATAAAATCTCAGGCGTGGACTGCCCTAAGTATGATAGAGTGTATAATAGCAGCTAGCGACCGTAAGCACTGGCGAGGATCTTTGCACGTCAAACTCTGAGCCAAAGATGACGCCTCCAGGTATCCAGGCTATTAATCATCTCCTTGACGATGTCGTGCTTCTCTCCTTACTTTACTTTACTTTTTCCGTCCTTTTGTACCTCTAGGGCGTCGAGGGGAGAAAGAGCTTCCTGTCTCTAGCAAGTTTGATGGCCTGGCTGGGTGGGATATTGAATGTTCTCAGGGTATCCTTCACACCCTGGATCCAGGTCTTTCTTGGTCTTCCTCTTGCCTTGTACCCTGATACCTTCCTGTAGTAGGCTTTACTGGCAAGCTGGTTAGGCGCCGTAGTGTGAGACGTCCAAACCACCGGATTGTTTGCTTCGAATGTAGTGGAGGACAGGTGTTGTTCTCTCCACTCTCACTAAATTAAGAGATTTCTGTAGCTTAGGTAGTTTACTTTCAGAACTTTTCATTTGCGAGATCTGATCTGACATGGATGTTTAAAAGGAGGTTCTGTCTCCCCACCAATGCAGAGTGGTAAAAGGGCTGTTAAACCCATACCAGTGGCGTCTGTAGTCTGATGGTTAGACATTTTGGTGGTGTGCACAGAAGACAGGAGATCAAGTCTAGCTTGGCGTCTAATCCATACGCCCTGGGGTCATTTTGTACCCCGGGGTTGTATTTTTCACATTTTAAAATACTTCTAGTTCGAAGACTTCTTTGGAACTTTCAGTATTTCTCAAAAAAGCATTTTGACAGACACCTATGCAAAGCGTACGGATATGATTACCGAGTACATTTCCTCTTTGGAAAGTGGTGGAACATCCACGTCGTATGGATACGAAAGTAAAACACGACGTACGGATAGGGTTAATAAAGTATTTCAGTCTCTTTGGAAGTTGTATCCACCGCGCCCGGGTTGACACTTTCAGGCATTGTGGAAGCAGTGCCTGGTAGATGGGTCATAACTCATTACTTTACTTTTCTCCCCCGCTTATACCCTTTTGGTGGGTGTCGCGGGAAGAAAGAGACGTCTCACTGCCACCAGCCGGAGAGCTTGGGTCAGGGGGATGCCGTGAGTTGTTAATGTTTTCCTGACTCCATCTATCCAGGTCTTTCTCGGTCGCCCTCTAGCCTTGCTGCCATCGAATTTTTTTTATGTAGGCACGTTGTGCTGGCTTTTGTGTTTGTAATCGCCTGAGATGTCCGAAACATTTGATTATTTGGTGTTGGATGTGACTCATTACCGGTGAAATTATGCTACTTTTTTGTTGCTTTGCTTTCTAACAAAGACGTTTCATAGACAAGAAAGTTTTGATGGTCAACTATTTGGCGGACCAAACCCTCCATCGACAAGTAATTAACTTCACAGAAGACATCGCAGTGATTGAGACATGATGCCATCTCTACGCAACAGAAGTTTTGGTGTTTGAGTAGCACACCTAAACTGGGAAGTTGCGTTTCTAGTTTCAGACCATTTATATCATCCTACGTTTATGTTCGGAGTGAGAACGTGAGCCATGATACAACTTAAGTTTACACAACAACATACCATCGCTGTACTGTGAAAGAGATAGAAAAATGTTAGGAATTTTTATAAAAGGAGGGGGGTGGGGGGGAGATGCCCGCAGAGCATGCATCTGTTAAGTGAATGGGATGCATTCGTGTAGATTGTCACCCGGTTGTTACGCAAGTTCAATAGGATCTTACTTGACCGACCACCCAACACGATGGTTACGGTCCAGAGAGCACTTTTTACTGTGTGTATGCCTGAGAGCCCGTGGAGATTTGAAGAGGAAGAAATAACACTGTACGAGGGGGGGGGAGGAGAGGATTCTGTTGGTCTTACTCTCATCTCGTTCGTGTCTTTGATCTCTGTCAGTGGCAGTCTCTTGGTAATATCTTTCCCACAAGGAACGAGGAGAAAATATCTTCTCTACAAGGGAAAAGGTGAAAATATCTTCCTCACAGCGGATTGGGACACATGTTAATATTATCTTCCCGACAACGAAATCAGGACAGAATATCTTCCCTACATGTAGAAAGGAAAAAAACTCATCTCCACCACAAGGGAACAAAATTCCGTTTTTTGAGTGTCAAGCAAAGAGACTAACCCTTCCCTCATCAACACAGTTTTTGCCTTACATTATTAATTGTACAGATTCACTTTTACTTGATGTCATATCTGGTTGAAGAAAAAAAATATAAAGGTCTGTCTTTTAGAAATAGGTTTGAAGTTTTAGAGCCTTTTTTGTCTGCTTACTCTTTGATTGAACAAAAGATCAATATTAAAAAGACAAACGCCTGTTTATCCTTGAACTGATTATACATGTTAACGTCCACCAAGTTTACATCATGTTGGAAGCGTACTGCTTTGGCCCTGGCTATAAATAATAATTTTTAAAAAAAATTAATATATGGTCGTTTTTAAGGACAGCGGGCTAACCCAGATTTCGGGGGTTTCCAGAATTCTTGACCTAC